GCCCGGGGGCCGGCCGCTCCCCCTGCAGCTACGGCGGTTTCTCTGAGAGCCCCCTTGCATCCCTGAGGTTAACGTCACAACGCCAATTTCATTTTTTATTTTTTGGAGGGCGGGGAAAAACAGCTCTTTTGTAAAAAAAAAAAAATAAAAATAACGTGCAAACACTGAGCGACTCAACAACGCCATGGGAGCGTTTAAAGGAAAATTACGTTCATTTTGTTCAGTTGCTTGCCTGAAAGTTTGCAAGACTACAGGCGCTGCTCGCTGTGACTGAATTGGGAGACGCGTATTCAGTCGCGCTGGAACTGCAGGTGGTAATTTAAGCCTCTTGCTGAGCAAGCACAGGGTTTTTTATTTTTTAGCACAGAGCTCCCAGATTTCTGCAAGAGACCCTTTAACAAGGTGTGCATCTAGTCGGGAACCAAACTTAAGGCATCTTTCCGGTACTTAGTGCTTTACCTTGAGCAGCACTGCTGAAACTCCGGAAGAAAATTACTTTTAGGTGTAAGGCATCCGGAGTTAGCTCTTTTTATATAACTCAGAGATACCACCAGTACTACAAAAAAAGTCTTGCATCAGAATATTAATATTTTCTCCTCGCTGTTCAACTGCTAAGGTGCCCTACCGAGCTAGAACAGGCCTTGTTCCAGGTCTGCGTGACATCTCGGACGTTTTTAAGATAGCGTTAAAATACATGAGACGCGACTACAGCAGCGCTCTGCCGCGTTAGCCCATCTCTCGTGCCCGTCGGCAGCTCTCGGAGAGCTTTAGGGAAACAAAAATCTCCGGGCACGTTTCCCCCGACTATTGCCGATGCCTCCGACAGCAGACCGAGGCCGGGACCCATATATCCTTGCGTGCAAGGATCCTTGATACCTTCTCGGTACCCACACAGAGACAGCTGAGGAGCAACGCGGCGGAGGCTGAGCATCCTCCGCTCCCGCTGAACTTGGCCGTCCTTCTTTGCGCCTCAGTTACTTTGCTAGGGCCAATGAATATCTTATCCAAGTGCCTATCTTTAATTCATCTTCTTCTTAATACTCCAGCCTCCAGCACCGGCCTCAGACACACCAAACTGAGAGCCTCCTCCTAACACAAGAGCGTCAATCACAAGCGCTGGGGTGCGGGGGTACTTTTGGTCTGCTCTCTTGGACAGGATGGATACAGCTTTCCACTCAGCATCTGCCTCCCGCAGGACGTACTGCGGTGGTAACTAGACGCCTACAGCCAGGGAGGCATCAGCAGCCCCGATGCCCACGGCAGCGAGGGGGCTTGGCCCCCTGCGCTGGGCAGGGGCGCATGCTGGTACCACAGCCTAGCTCCTGCGCACCTTCTCGAACAAAGAGGTTAAACAGAAAAAATTCAGCGCGCAGCAGCCGTGGGGCTGGGGAAAAAAGCACTTCAGCAGTTGCATCTGGGTTCCCTGGGTGTAAAACGAGCGTATAACGATGGGTCTGTAGCGCCGTTATTGCAGAATGGCTCTCTACTGCCCAGCTCTAACACATGGGGCCAGAACGGCTCAGGCTGCTCCCATTTGATTTGCAATAATGCAATATCTTCATTGCGCAGTCCTAGGTTATTTTCAAGATCTTACACCTTTTGCACCAAAGGCAGTCCTCCTCTCAGGTTGATTAAAGCTCATCAAGTTCCACCTTCACTAGGGATGCAAACAGCACTTGAGCGCATGTCTTCAGAAGAAGATGAAAAGTAAAACATGGAGCTACTAATATTTTGTTTTATGATAGACAAGTGAGCTGGAGGAGGCAAGATCCTCAGGCATCACTGTCACCACAAACTGTCCCTAACGCCAAGATGATGAGTACTGTTAGATAAACTTTTGATATACAAAGTCTGCAAAGATAACATTTCTGGCTTCACACTGCTTCCCACCACAGGGAGGAGAAGACAAACTTGTGAGAATCACTTGCAAGGTGCTTCTCTAAAGCCTTCAGGCCCTTTCAGGAATGCGCCCACGCAGAGGAAGGCAGCGGGACGCTCACGTGGTCCCAACGGCGGCACCTACCTGTTGACACCTTCCCTGGAGAAGTAGACCGTGTACGCCTGGACGCTCCCTCTCGCATCGGCGGGTGGGCGCCAGCTGAGACGGACAAACCGACTGGAGACCAAGACAGGGACGACATCTCGGGGGGCAGAGGGGAGGACACTGGAGCTCGGGACGGCTGGAGGGGAAGGAGAGGCATCAGTCAGAGAGGGAGGGGGGACCGGGGGGGGCGGGGGCGGGGTCGGGATGAGCGCAGTAGTGGACACAGCTAAGGTGTCACCAAACACAGGGCCAAGGTGGCGTGGGAAGAGTGTGAACAAAATGAAAAAAGGATAAAAGAGAGAGAGAGAAAAAAAAACTAGCAGTAAAATCACACCTTAAAATATATCACCCTGTACCATTAATAACCCTCAAAATTAAACAGCAACAAGCAAAATGTGAACAGGGTGCTTCCCCTGATACTTGGAAATTACTTCTTGTACACGTGACCATGGAGCCTGATGCACTGCTTTGTTCACCCACATTCCCCCCTCCTCGTCTTCTATGCCCAAAGCTGCCAGAGTAGTAACTCACCACTCAAAATCTGATGCCTATAAACCCACGGGTCTGGGAAAAGTAGAAAAAAGTAGAGTCCAGCATATGACTTATTAGATAATTACACCAAAGTAGGATATACAGAAAAGGAAAAAGACCATGAAAGTTAATATCAACCCTGATATATACGGAAAAGTGCTCGGTCTACGTGCAAAATCCAGAAATGGCTAAACTGCTGATTCGAGCAGTAAAATTCATCTTATAACAGTATCTCTTTGCAGAGTTTAAGGGTCTGTGTGTTGCTCACCAAGCGTATATGAAAGCTGGCCTAGCAACACAAACGAACAACAAATTCAATATGTAATTTATTATTCAACAACAGTGTCAGCGGTCAGCTATATCCTGATCTAGCACACGCATCTCAGGGATCATCCGCAGTCACTGAACCTTCTCTGAGGCCAAACATGCAACGCCAGGCCTGATTTCATAGGCCACAGCTGCCTTCAAATGCAGGTTTGGCCACTGGTTTCAAATTAAAAAGCAAACTTTCTTCATAATTGCAGGTCATTTTTGGTCAGTCTTTGTATATATATCGGTTAGTTACCATATTAATAGCATTAATTTACTGTGAGATCATTAAAAGCATTGAATTATCTAAACAGCTTATGTAGGATAGTTTTATGTAAAAAAGGTGACATTCACTAAATACTGGCTTAGCGTTTTTATCTTCCCTATATTATTATTAACACTCATTAATATCATTATTATAAATAATAAATACTACTACCCCTTCCATGTTGTCATCAATCGAAAAAAGAAGGAATTAAGGAATTTCCCGGTGGCATTTCCAGTGTAATGATGTGTGGAAAAAATAATACGAAGCCATAGTCTCAGCTCTTTCAGCTGCACAGTTGTGATACGTTATTTGCACTGAGATTGCATTTAGCATCCTTAGTCATGGGCCACTGATCTAAATAATGTGCAAACACAAGACTAAGTATAATTCTGTGTACATTTATATTAGAACGACGCGACTATTTTGCTTCGCAGTCAGACTGAGCAGATTTGGGCTTCTGATCTATTCTACATGTTGACTTATGTATTATAAGCATAAGTGCACTATCTTCTTCTAATGAGGACTGGATTAGGTAAACATCATTAGAGAAATACCAAGGGCAAGATCTGAAAAAACACAGACACACACCTACAAGTCTTTGCCAGTGGAGTTTGGGTACCTAAATCAAAGACAGTAATTCAGAAAACTGCCCCATTACTAGCTACTTTGGCATCTGAGGGTCTGCACAAACTCTCAGTTCCTCCAAAAAATACTCAGGTCTCTGGTTCCTCTGCCAAAGAGCCATCATCTTAGTTGAGCAGGGCAGTCTGGGCACCTCTCTTCCACCGACGGTGATTTTGTATTCAAAAATTTGCAGGAAGACAAGTTCTAAGTCCCGACATTTACACTTAGGTGACTATATGTGTGGGTCTATGTACAAGCTCAGTGTCTAAGCTCCCACCACGGAAAATTCGAGATCACAGATGATGGAATCATCAGATAACACGGATGCTGGAGCCTAAAGAGCTCCTCAAACTACCAAATGGCAGGAGCTACCTTCAAACATGCTGAATAAGTACCTAAAAAATGGAGCTGAATCCATAGCATCAGCGTCCCCGCGCAGGCAGACCCCGTGGAGTCTGATCTGGTCGCTCAGGGCATACTTAAATACATGGAAGCGAGCAAGATGTTCATGGTAGAGAAATTACATCCATTTATCACTTGGCATTGTTCACCTTGTGTGCAATTCCTAATGGTTACAACATTAACTAAGGGAACGGGAGAACGGTGCTACAGCCGATGCTTTCCCACCTGCTGGTGTCCGAAGCCCTTGGCCCAGCGCTTCCTAGTCTGGGTCTATCCGGCGCATACGACCCTTTGCCAACTACCCCGGAGCTGCCGGTTCCACTCCCAGAGCTCGGCTTGGCCACAGCAGCGATGAGCCGCCGCATCTCTTACCATCCTCTGCTGCTCTGGGCCATTTGTCCTCACTATGGCCTTTGTTCTGCCAGACTGTGCAAACTGACCTTGACAAATTATTTTTGCAAACAACCCAAACTTACTAAAATGATAGCGACAAAACTGAGGTGAAAAGCTGCAAGCCAGGGATGGGAGTTCTAGTCCACTAAGTATGTATTTTACTCCGGCTTTCGGTAAACTCTGTAGAGCTATCACTGACAAAAGCAATTTCACTTTTATTGTTGCTAGCAGTGAATAGCAAACATATATAGTACAATAGTACAATATAGAAAAGACATGCAACCTGAAATTATCTCCGCAAGTAATATCTGAAATCCTTCACTCTTTCATAGGACTATACAAGATCAATCCACTGCTTGTTAAATTGTCTACATCAGAGTTTGACAGGGTCTGATTTTAGCCTGACGTGATTTATTTAACTCCTTATGAAGTTTAGTTTTCTCTGCTCTCGTGGCAGGGGGAATAACCATCTACCTCTACATGGGAGCATGAAACATTACTGCTCTGATTCACTTTCCACAGGCATAAATCACCACATACTCAACAGAGGGAAATCTGAGTCTAGGCCAATACGTCCTGATTTTCATATGTTTCCATTTAGAAAGGCAAATGGAGCATCTCCATTCTTGTAGTCCTGAAGCAAAAGTTTTCCAGAAAAGTAGAATATGTTTGATGTAGATGCTCCGCACCTGCTTGTTTACAGACTTTATTTGTGAAATAAAGATCGGTTGTAAAACATGTACAAGGCCACTTACGGAGTTTTTAAACAGCTAAGGGCAAAATTTGCCCTGATTTAACCTGTGCAGCTGCACTTAGCACTGGAACCTGTTGCTGCTTCGTCTCTCACGCTGTGCGCCATGGCCATTCGCCAGCACTTCCCATATATAGCAGTCACAGGCTATTTGTAATTTAAAATACTGGAATGAGATCTAACTCAGAGACAGACTTTTTTTTTTTGTAAATGTAGCTTTAGCATGTCTGCATGCAGGAGAGTGCTGCTTTCTTGCAAACTCAAGAAAGGAAGAATGGAAAATGCTACTACAGTTCACGTATTATTTCTTTCCTATCATGTGAACATACATGTGGCAGCCTCAATAGCTCTTAAATACAGACATGCTCACGTAATGGTCTACACACAGAGGGAAGCAGATCCTAGCAGCAGCACCTCTACCCTTTAAATGACAACAGTGAGAGACTGGTAAAAGCTTACGCGGGGTATACAAGAAGAGATGATGAATGAATCGAAAAAAACCCTCATAACTATATCCCACAAGGGATGTGATGTCAGGAAGATGTACCACCATAACTGCTAAGTGGAGGTGGCAATATATGACATCGGTCATTTTCCCAGAAGACAGCACGGGGCAGAGACAGGGCCTGGGCAAGAAGCACGGGACACTGCGACACTCCTCCCAGCTCCACAGCAAGGAGCCCATCACGGTCGCTGCCACCAGCCGGGCTACTTCCTCCTCCTGGGCATTCACGTCTTCGCTTGCATTTCTCTCCATCTTGCTGCGTGCTGTGGAGCGCATAGACATCTCCCACCTCGACTCTCACATTCCTCCCAACATACAGACAGCACCTAATCGACCAGCCGACGTGAAGGTCCTGCCAAAACCTCTATAACCTGAGCTCTGGTCACGTCCCATCTCTACTTGCTTCCGTGCGTCATTCACATCCTTTGGTTTCCAGGCCAGCACTATCTATCTTAAACTGAAAATATCTCACCATCTACGTCCTCTTCTTTTCAGCGTTCCAGTGACTAGCAATTTGCAGGCATTACAAGCTGTCCAATGCCTGGCACTCTATATTCATGTTTCCAAAACTCCATTTATTATGATTGAGAAGTTACTGTGCTTACAGAAAATATTGCTCTTGGATTTCAATTGGCAATTATAAAATTGGTCTAAAAGCTCTTCTAATAATCCACATTAGGACTAAGTCCTGAATTGATGAGTTGACTCTACTGTTTCTAAAGCAATAAAGATGGGCATGTGTTTAATCACGCACAGTTACTTCCCACAGAAACTTAAACTTCTTAAGCGTATACTGTGTTGCCACTTCCCTACCTCTAAAAATCAAACTCATTTTTTCAGGGGGATAAGTTAATACAGAGAAGAATTAGCAACCTGTACACATGCATAAAATCTGTCTGTATCTCAGTGAAAGTGGTTAATTTTCACGGCATCATTCATTTAACACTTTTTTTTCCCCCAAAATTACAATCTTAGTGAAGTGATAACTATACAAGCTGTCAGTTGCCAATGTTTTACACTTAGAATTTGTGAAAATAAGAACATCTACTGCAGGCTATCTATACCTTTAAAACACTGTCAATTAAAACTAGTTGGTAAGATTTGAAACTCCATGCTTTTTCAGTAAAAATGAGAAACCTGCCACACTTTGAATCTTCAGCCAGCTCTCCGGCTGCAAATCATGCTTTCCCTAAATATCCTGATGCTGAAACACATTTCAAGACATCACATGAAAAATTTCAGCAAAGATGCTGCATGAAAATATTTTTGATGTTTTCTAACAACTATTTTTCAATTCCTCAATTTGAAACTATTCAACTATAGAGAAAATTTTTATATAGTTTTCTGTTTTAA